TCCGGGAAGCTGTTTTATCGTTGTTGGGAATCTTATGAACCCGAGGTCTCCTGGCTGGTAGTCTGAGGATTTGACCGTTCAGCCACAAAAGGTTGATCGATATTGTGAGTGAATTTTACTTAAAGAGGACATAGGATCATCCACCCATCATTGGCGGGATTCACATCACGTGGTCACGTGTTGACAGGCTCCTCGAATGATCACTTTTCAGAGAGAGGACTCACTCACTCCCGTCCTGAGTTAGATTGGAATACTCACTAAACACTCGAGAGTTTATGGGTTCGGATCCCTGCACAGAGCCATGAGATGCGCACTGCTGGTGGCTTCTTTTAAGCATCACGTGGGTGTTGACAGGCTCCTCGAATGATCACTTTTCAGAGAGAGGACTCACTCACTCCCGTCCTGAGTTAGATTGGAAATACTCACTAAACACTCGAGAGTTTATGGGTTCGGATCCCTGCACAGAGCCATGAGATGCGCACTGCTGGTGGCTTCTTTTAAGGATAGAACAGCTTTACAATCATCCTCGGCCTTTTTTATGTAGCCTAACTTCACTTTCGAAGCTATCCTCAAACTAACGATATCCCTAGCGAACTACACTCATTTACAAACAAATTTGGTTTTACGGGAGACCAACCCGGAACCCAACAGAATCTCTCTTTTTCAATGTTTCCAAGCAGTTCAGCAAAGAGAATGTATCGTTTTTGTCACTGGTTGAATATCAGTCACTATGAACAGCTAAAATCGTCGGTTAATGGGAGTTCCATGACTAAGTGTTGGCCATGTGGGTAGCCAGACAGAACCCTCAGATGCCATACGCCGGAGTTTCGAGCTGCCTGAAGTTAAAAGAGCTTTTCAGAATGTCTCCTGGTATACGATGTCATATATATATATATATATATATATATAACTGTTAACAGAACTGTTGACGGACGTGGTGGAACAGATTCTCGTGAGAATCAAACTATCCATTGATGCCGTCCGGAAGGTGAGAATATGGGCCCCTGTGGATAACAATCACCGGTTAACTCGTGAGCTTCACTTGCAAACTGAAAAGTAATGCCATGCTGTCGTTACAAATAAACCTGCAGGTGTGACCAAAAGGAGTTAAGTTTATCTGTATTAGTAACGGCGGTATCTGGTTGCTCTTGGACTGTGTGCTAACATGGAAAGTGTATCCAACTCACATTTACTACTCATGAAACAAAGTATTATCCTCCGGCTCATCGTGAGAACAGGTGGATGCGTCTCCTGACTTTCCCCCTGAATTTGACGGAGGCCCTGCTGTTTTCTTTGGTTGCTGGAGGGTTGGACTCAGGAGTTTTGTTAGGTAGTGAAGATCAGAAAAAACCCATTTTCAGGAATCGTGAGGCCTACTGAGAGTCGTTTTTTCTCAGGATTTGAGTGAAATTCGCAATGCAAAACTCGGCAATAAGGTGCACATTCTTTCTCAAAAGCCTATTCTGGTCACATTTATCCACCATTGTTATGAGTGGACATTTTGAATTCACTGGATATCAAGTCGTAAACCCCTTGGTGGAAAGTGTACCAAACCTCGGAACCTTCAATGCTCTTTCTGTCTGTCAACTTGGTAGGACAACAAGACAGATTAAGTCTTTCATTTATATTCTGAGGACGTATAATACGCACAGGAATAAAGAACGTGCGTTGGTGAAAAACCTCTTCCTAGTTTGTGAACCAATCTTGTGACTGACTGAGGAAAACCTAAGAATTCTGCCTATCATCATTTGTCAATCGATGAGGTAATCAATAATTAATCATCTAGTGAATCGGAAGTTACTTCAACAACAAAATACCCATTTGGTTTCCAAGGGAGACATACTTGAATCCCTCGTTTATATTGTCATTCTTAGTTGTTATGCGGGACTATCAGGTACAAACAAAAGGGGAAAGCAACGGCCTAGTGGAGTGACGTAAGCACTTTATACGCATGTTAGCTAAGGGACGGATACTCAAGTCTTAATTCAAATCCATTGATCGTGGAGTTTTCGAGAAAAATGTGTTTTTTTAGGGTAACGGATGTCCTGAGTGCGACTCTAAGATGAGAGAAAGAAATACGTAGAAAATTCTATTATTCAAGTCCAAGTTGAAGAACTCAATTTCGGTAAACATGAAAGTTTGCGAGTTCGAATCGCCCTGGAAACCCGCGAGATGCGTATTTCTGGTAATTCCGAACAAGAATGCCCCTCTGTCTTTCAGTATAGACCACATTTATTTGCATGACAAAAGACATTTTCGAAGAAGGCACAAAGATCTCCACATGAACTACAAGACACAAGCAAACTGAGCAGAAACGCATCCAACAGGCCGCTCGGGTTCGATAAGTAGGCCAAGACCTGCACCGGATCGCGTGGTGAGTCGAATCCTCACCCTAAATAATTCCGCCTCGCGGTTTGGTATGCGCTTCACACCTGCAAAGTGTAAAGTCCTACTGCAAGACTGGGTGGGCTCGAACCCTAGCCTCATGCTTGCGGATGAACCGATTGAGGTAGTAGACAAATTTGTTTACCTGGGCAGCTGTATCAGTCCCGGTGGTCTGGCGAAAGATGATATTTCCATCCGGATTGGGAAGGCCAGAGCGGCTTTTGCGAACCTACGTCACCTGTGGCGTAGGCGTGACATCGGTTTCTCTGTCAGGCAGTATGCATTGATTATTGACATCTCACGTGGTTGCCCGGCAATTATTGGAGCCAACTGACATTAAGCCTCAAATCAAGGGGATAATTTATAGTGTGCCGAAATAGGTCTCAATTTTTTTGTAATGTACTACTCATAAGGTTGTTGAAAATCCATCGACAGCCCACGACCGGTTTCGCCCTTTTCTGGGGCTCATCAGGTAGGCGCAGTCCCCCGGCTTCCGTCAAACTTATGTTCTACTTGAAAACGAATTGCACGAATTCTCGTTGAGTTCAACCAGCGATTCAACATTTTTCGAACATTTACACACTTCCTTGAGTTTTACTAACTCTATGCCCCCGCAACGAGTGAGCACTGGTCGGATCGATAAAACCGGTCACGCATGCTTTAAGTGGGTCAGTTAATCAGGCTCCCATTCAGTTCACCTACATCCACAGAAGCTTCCGTGGAGGGTTGCCTACCTGATTCCTAACCGAAATTGGTAAAGTGCGCACCGCGGTTGATAAAGGAATTTTAGAATGATTCTCGGATTTCCAGAACAGAATGGACGAGCCGGGCAGATGAAAACTACGTTCCCCCACCTTATTGACAAAATACTGAATGCTGACACTGAGACAACCGTTGATCCAATTGCACGTGCAGTTTGAATGAACTCTAGTATTAAAAATGCATTGTTTGGATATCCCACCATCAGCAACCACAGCTGCCCGTCTCGGTTAGAGGAACAGTTGTCTTTGTTTTACTGAAGTGATTCTATACCCGTGTTCCGGTATAGTCGATCAAATGTTACCGTAGAGGAACAACAGCAACCCGATTGCCGGACGTCTAATCAGTAGATACGCTGTAGACAGTTTGCTTTACCTCCGTGAATGAATGACACCACACACCCAGTATTATCTTCGTGAGCTCTCTTACACCACAGACGAGCTAAAAGGGGTAAATACTGAATTTCATCGACTGTCATTGGTCGAACCTGATTGGGCACTGAGAGCTTCCAGTAGGCAAGGCGAGCACGTGATCACCCTGGTCGAGCGTTGAACGAACAGGTTCTAGGCTATCATACTTCGTTACAGTTTACGTTGCACATGGGACATGCAAAACCAGCCCTGCGAGGTTTACCGTTCTCTGATTTGGCCCAAACGGCACCCATATATTGCGGAGGTTTCTGCTCTCCAAAGTCATCGGGACTGCCTCAGTATCACTGATTCGACTCTTCCACCAGACAGTGAGACTCAAAAAGTTTTCGCGTGGTCACTGGGTGCTGAGGTTGTGTCGCGGACTTCTGAGGCGTTGCGGTCCGCAGTGAAGCAGCATCATAGCCTCGTCCTAGGACTCGGGACTCGACGCAAGCTGCTCGCGCTTTCCGTTTGTGTGGTGATTTTGTCTTCCATCGGGGCCAACTTATTCGCCCTCATCACCTCTGCAAGCATATGGCCCAGATTGGGTCCAAATTGGTCTGACGGTAGCAAATTTTGCGAATTGTGTAGCAAAGCTATTTCGACTCCCGAAAGACTTTATGCAGAAAATGCCGCGCCATTCGTATGCCACATGCCTGTAGGTGAGGATACGAGATACTACAGACGGCAAAAAGGGTTTCAAGCAGCAGACCAACAACGAAGCTGAAGGGAAACAGTCGGGTAGGGCAGTCTTGTCTGACGCAGAATGCTGACAGTAAGTTCACTCGCGTCCACAAGACTAAATGTGCAGAATCTCTATAAGGAACAGGAAGTTAGCTGGAGCATCTTTTAATGCAAGACACTCTCGGTGTCTCTGGTGGGTGACACGATCACAATCATTCAAAACAAACGATAATTGCAGGGCGTCCGAAGGAATGGAGCCCTTTGATTACCAGTTTGGAGCGAAGGATATGGTAAGTGCAATTTGAACCCGGGAAAGATGACTTTGTACTTTTTCTGGAAAAATTCGCTTCCACACCATGTTATTCAATGATATGATCAGATTACCGAGGTTTCACCCCCACTTTAGAGTGCAAGGGCCTGGTGCCTTTTAGTGTTGCGGGGTCGATGTCTCACGCCGAATTCCTATTGTTCATGGTGTTAACATCTTATTCAGGTTCACGAGATTCTTCCAAGATATAGGGTCGGTCGAAGTGTTCCTTGGAACGCTCATCAAATGATCAAGGTGATGGTTTCTCAATTGAATTACCGACCCATCCTGTCCACAAATCGAACACATACCTTCATCCGTTTTGTTGATCGACTTCGCTGAAGCAGGCCATGAACCTTCCTCACTGTCAAATTAGCCAAGGAGGCAATCTCTTGGGCTTTATCTACGAGCGCTACCTAGGCTTTTGTTTACTCAGTGTTCAAAGTACCACCTGATCAGTCATCGCTGGCGATAAACCGTGTGCATTCAGTCGAATAAGATAGATTGGTCGGACTTCCCCACTCATCCTCGTTATCCCCGTTTGGTCGAACTTTTAACAGTATCTTGGCCAGTTTGGCCATATCAGCTAATCGACTGTCTTTGTTTCGGTCCGTGACCTTGAAAGAAGTCGAGCTGATAAGTACAGTCACATGATCAAAATTATGTACGTGTCCTAAAAATGTCCCAGAATGAAACTTTTTATCAGTAACTAATTGTCACACTATCTAGCTGAATCTATGATTTACATTAGGCGACCTGAAAGTAAGGGCCTGGGATTCATACCGGATAGTAACAAATCACGTTCAGCGAATGACCGAGTAGTCTGCACTCTTTTGTCCTCAAACTGAGCATTAAATCCAAATCTATCACTTTACTTTCCTTCTTCTGGGCTTAGTTAGTTCACTTAAGGATTCACGTTACCCGGCGGGATAACAATATCTGTGTTTAGCGAATATACATTTGCAAACTAATTTGGTTTTTCGAGGGACTCACTTGGAACCCAGCTGAATCCCAACCAAATTGGTTTGAAAATGAGTGTATTTCGCTAGATTCATACAATTTGGTTTCAAGTAGAACATAAGGTTGACGGAAACTCGGGGACTGCGCCTACTTGATTAGCCCCAAGAAGAAGGGCGAAACCGGTCGTGGGCTGTCGAGGAGTTTTCAGCAACCTTATGAGTAGTGCATTTCAAAATATGTCTTTCTTTGCTAATCGAAACCATTGTGAGAGATCTCGTTAGAATTCATCCTTCTCAGACTTGAGAGTTCGCTAACCCGAATAGAAAAATCCATCCGCTGCACATGGTTGAATCGATCAATAAAACACTTAAATCCTTTGGGATTAGTACAGCTCTCAAGCCATAGATACAATGAGCTGGCGCATCATGGTCATTCTTTATCTGAAATGCGAACTGTGAAATATCTGGGCTCGTATTTGGCAGTTTACGACTGAGCTTATAGCGTGTGAGTGTTCCGGAGAGATGAACTACATCAGAAGAAAGCGAGCGGAAAGCCCTAGCGGTCTATGCCCAGTACCAAATATGGCAAAAGTTAGGGTTGGACAGTTCTTCCACAATCTGCTAGTGAGGGAAAAACTGCCCACAATGAGCACTTTTGACTTTTCCTGTGTGGAACTCGCTTTATGACCTTTCCACGGGATGAACTGATGCTAGTCTAAAAGATAAAGTGTGGAAGTACACAATACCGTTTCATTGTCCATCTCTACGCAGCGACCATTTGCGATCAGTTTGAACGGCGTTCGCTGCGAGGGGGTAGGGTGCAGTAGAGTTTAATTGTGAACTAGTAAGGTGTATATGTTACCCTCGTGTAAACCTGCCTGTTGGTTCGAATGTAAGACACTCCATGAGGGCACTAATACCACCTGAAGTTGATCCAGGCCCCAGGAGGACAACGTCACCCACTTACTAATAAGCAACTATTTACTGTACACCTCACATTCACAGAACGAATGGACGCTACAGAGAAAAGGGACGGCACTACTTTGTGCCTGAATAAAATCACGTCAAAACGACAGAGGCGGTTAGCGCGACCATGGAACTTTCCAAACAAACGCATGCCTTCGAGACAGGTGCACACAAATTGGAAAACTGGGACCACACGAACTTCCGGATGGAACGATCTCACAGTCTGTACACAATCGCATCATACAAACACCATCACAATGTAGGTAGTAAACAATTTCGCCACGTGGTCAAGTCGTGTTCACGGTAGTGCCATCCACTTGTTGCGAGGGTTGGGAACCTGGTGAGGAGTTTTCCTGTCACGAGCTGTGCGACGCTTGGAAGAATGTCTCCTCTGGGATTGGAGTTGGTAAAATGCAACGCTTCCGAAGGCGGGACCAAATCGACCTTGGAAAAAATAGATAGACAGACAGACTTCCAATGATCACCGTGAACATTAGCGTGACCAATAGCCCTGTTGATGATCCAAGTTGCATAGCTTACAGGCCATGAAAGCGATTCATGCACACCATAGCAAAAAAGATGTTTGATTAAAAAACGGTGTTCTGGAAATTATCTAGCAACTGCAGTACCTTGCCACTGAAAAGTTTGTGCTCGATTGGGCGACTGCGTACATTCAAAAACTATCAAATTTACAAGTATCACTTTGGCTTCTAGTTTTGCGTTCAACGACTCTTAGGCGGAATCCCGCGCCGTTTACGGTTAGGCGTTGCTATGGCAAAGGAGCCTATCCCGCACGCAATTGATCCGAAGATCGGGCCGCTTGCCAGTCCAGCATCAAGGCCAGCTCTGATTCGCCGATTCGTCTGAATCCACTTGTTCGACCGTATGCATTGGAACACGTGAGCTGACTCTCGCCATTATAACAGCGGGATTCGGTGACGGTGACAGATGAGTTGCTGGCACGGTGCGTCGGTTCGGGTACGCTTCCTGGTTACTGATCAAATGATCGTCAACGTGGCGGTCAGCTCGCGAAAGTTTTGTCGTCCGGTGAGGTGACATCATTAGTCTGATGTTGGATGGGTATTTCCCCTTGTTTTACAAACAGCATGCAATATTTATTGACGTGTCTGGTTCATTGGAGGATAATTCACTCGTTATCTTATTGTCTCGTTAGCAATTTATGTCGGGTCTTGGTTTGTATTCCTTGCATTCTATTCGGTTACTGGATAGGTTCTTTTTAAGAGTTTCGAACCACAACGCAATATATTTTGCAAGCGGACCAATCAGAACATGAACCGAAACTCAGTGGGGGGGACCAGTTGGGTGTAAGAGACAGACGGACGGAAAGATGACGAGGAATCCACCAACCAATTAGCCAATCACATCAACGTGTGCCAGATTCTCTGGAGGAAAAAACTGTACCACCACAGGCAAGTAAAGAGACAGTATTCGGTCGGCTGCGCACTAGTGATAGCGAAAAGTTTGTTAGCCAAATCGTCAACAGATCGATAGTGACCTCCTCAAAAACCAATAAGGGTGTGTTGTCTGATCGTCAGATGCTAGTGATTAGAAAATAACAACAAAGTCACAAGCATCGTGACATTGGTTGTATCTTCAAGATTAGAGTAGATTCACGACAGAGGTGAGTACGCTTTCTCACTCTGTCGATCAATCGAATCAGTCAGTTAGAATGCGCTCATTTGACCAATAACCTTTACTGATTTGATCATGCCTGTTGGTGGAAGAGACCCGACCTTGACCAGTGGGAATTCAGTACGTCGGCCAGGTGGTATTTCAGCTAAAGATGAATATAATTGGTCGGTGAGTACCAAATGAATCGATCGGTTAATATTTCCCGCCTGAACCCGTGGTTCAACTCCGACTAATCTAACAGTGACGGTTGTTGGCTTAGGTGAGCGTGGTGACATTTCGAGTGAGGAATCTGATGCCGTCGAAGAAGATACGCTTATAACCCTATTAGATGGTGAGTTACTACCAAAATTACTAATAATTTAATGAGATAACCAATATTGATTATCAGTACTGGGGTGTTTTCGTTACTCACTAGATAAAGAAGAAGGTACCGATATTGTTCGATCAATAAAAAGCTTAATTCAGTGGATCTCCAGCCTCCGTACGCACTGGTAACGACATCGTGGATGACTTAGAGCACCATTCTTCGGGAAGTGGTCGAAAAAGTGAAGACACATCAAAAGCTATTCAACCAATGAAGATTTCGGAAAGACTGAATCTGAGCTAGGCTCAAAGCCATAGAAACCGTGTGGAGATGCCAGAGCTCGTAAACACGCAGAAACCACTCGACTACTGATTTGGTTGATTGTCTTATGAAGATGGTTACTGAGTGTAAACGATCTAAATTAGGACACTGACAGCCAGATTACATGTCAAGAACCGGTCCGTTGCGTTAAACCGGTCAAAGTCAGTCTGTAGTGAAAATCTAAGCCTAATATAGCTTGGAGATTAAAGAGTAAGGTTGCAGTGTTGCGGGATAGAAGTAGCTGAGGTGCGCTGCTTGGTTGTTTGTCTGTTCGCCGAGCTTGGCAGTTGGGTTGCAAACGCTTCTTCACAAATCGAGATGACATCGTCAGTGCACGGTTGGGTGAGGGAATTCCTCCTCTTCTACCTGTGCTTCCATAATCTCTAAGTCATATCCAGTTGCTCTAAAGCGACTGGTTAGTCCCGAAAATGGTCTCCGCGCAATTTGGTTAGTCACCTTGGAATCTGAGTTGCGTTGCGGTCTGACTCCCTTGTACTTGGTTGATTCGTTTGGCATAGTCGATTTGATAGTTCTGTTTCTCGTTGTGATTAGGCCGTCTACTTCTTGCTTTGTGGTCTGAGATCGCTCCCTTGATTGGTTGATTCAGTGGCCGGATCTTCTCCAGATAAGCTCCGTCACCATTGCAAAAAAGTGCATGTGCGAAAAGTTAGTCCCCACCATTTTTCGCCAGCTCCAATTTAATGTACGCACACAACCTTGATCTAATTTTGATGGAACAATTCCTTATCCGCATCTAGGCTCATTTTGTCCAAAAATTTTCTCCGTTCGGACGTAAAACCGTAGATGAGCCTTCTGACGCTTTCAACTCTCGTTCATGACAAGGAGACGGCAATACGTTTTTTGCAAAGCTACGGAGTGATCCATCAGCAACGTTTATGCAACAATGCCCATCAAATGACACTTTCAACTGTTTGTAACAGGTGGAGGTGTAGTGTCCGACAGTGTCGGTAAGAAATCAGTCTTCGAACGGGAATTTGGCTGGAGCGGTCCAGGATGGAGTTTAGGACAGTAATTCCATTCATTTATTGCTGGTCCAAAAATTTGGCAAAAATCAAATTCTGCTCGGAGGAATTATCCATTAGCCACGGGCGAGTCCTTTCCCAGCAATGGATTTTCGGATTACACTCACGAAACTGTTAACCATACCGAAAACTTTGTAGATCCAACGGCTGGAGCTCACACACAAATCATCGAATCTCTTTGGCACGTCGAAAAGATGTAGAATAAACGCCAATTCGGTACAAACCTATCTTTAGCTGACAGATACTTTTGTGAGTTCGACTGGAGGCAAAGGTACCGAAAAACGGACCTTTTTATGTAAATTATTAATAACATGTCCCAGTTTCATCCGCTTCAATAAAAAATAAAAGCACACATTTCATATCCTCATTTTTCCAATCTTTTTTTGGGTGGCGGGGGTTAATTTTTTGGCGAGGCTTATCTGGAAAAGATCTCAGTAGCCTTCTATTTTTGGTAGCTTCCTTTCTGCGATCCCATTGGTTCGTCGTCAGGTTACTTGATCTCCCATGTAGTTCATGGTCCATGACTGTGTGGTTCTTTTGCTCTGATCGACTGGGTCGATATCGATGTGTTTGTTGATTGATTTTTGTCTAAAAGTACGCTACCGAGTGTGAGTTCCTTGGTTCGGCTCCGTCCTTTGTCTTATTGCTCCTCTATGCGCCTGAGTAGATTGGAAATCGATTGAAATTCAAACTTGCATCGACCCGTATGGCACTTGTACACCGAGGACTTATTCAACGTTATACACATCTCATTTTTCAAGATCAGACACATCATAGGCTTCAACTGAAGCTACGCTGGCAAGGCACAGCAAACGAATATCTACGACAAACACCGCGATGGTCAAATTAAGTTGTATGCTCGCGGTATGAAAGCCGTTAAACACAGCATGTGGTTTTAAGTGAACTAATTATTCGGCTTTTCTCCTACGTGGTTGTGGGAAAGCCAGTGTAGGATAGTTAAGTTAATCCAAGAACTGTAAACGGCTACACACCCCTGTTAGTCTTCAAGAACACAACCTCACCTGATTGAAAACCTCGCATCGACTGCGTTCGCAGAAGCCAAGGTGGTCGCCAAACAGTCGTAAACTAGCCGGATTATCCAGGGAAACCTTGGCCACAAGGGAAGAGATTTTGTTGGGCAGATGCGAAGAACTGTACTGCAACAGCGCAGCGACTGCCTCCGCAGCCAATCCCTGTCCCCGAAAATCCTCTTCGGCAATCATTACGGATAGCTCACCTGGAAATGATTGGTCAACTGCGTTAAATAATTTAAACGAAATGAGACTGAGTCACAGAAAAAAACACTGAAGTTATCGTTCCCGAAAGCGAGCGTCGGAGCTGAACAGTGTTCGTTCTTCGAGTGTATGAACCTGCGGGCAAGCCGTAAATTCGAAAACTATCAAATTTACAAGTATCATTTTGGCTCCTACGTGAGTCCGTTTCTAGTTTTGCGCCGGACGACTGTTGGACGGAATCCCGCACCGCTTACAGTTAGGCGTTGCTATGGTCAAGGAGCCTGTCCCGCACGCGATTGGTCCGAAGATCGGGCCGCTTGCCAGTCCAGCATCAAGGCCAGCTCTGATTCGTCAAAGGTCTGGACCTGACAAGGAATCATGATCCAATATCCGCTGAAAGCCGGTTGAGAGTGGCGCATACAGAAGGCCCAGAGTGTTGTCACCTCATACACTTTATACAGACGCACTGTACAAGCGTTTTTGAACTGGTTTTGGGCACTTAATAAACACCTTTTGTGGTTCCGAGAAATACACTCATTTGCAAATCAATTTGGTTGTGTTCACGAGCGACTCAACTGCATATTTTGTATCTGAAGTTCTACAACTGAATGTGCTGCACACAGGCCGCCTCATGATTCAGTTGGCACGATATTCGAGATATCGCAGTATATTTTCATAAAGGAAGCTACTCACAAGGTTGCTGAAAACACTTCGACAGCCCACGACCGGTTTCGCCCTTCTTGGGGCGACGGAAACTAGGGGACTGCGCCTACCTGACAAGCCCCAAAAACGGCGAAACCGGTCGTGGGCTGTCGAAGAGTTTTCAGTAACCTTGTGAGTAGTTTCCTTTTGTGGTTGTTTTGATGGGAACGCTAGCTTGGAAGGTCCAAACAGAGAACTGAGCAGATACATTACCGTTATTACAACAATCAACCAAACCAAATCAACCACAGGTAAACTGCAATAGTGTCTGAGCTGTAGTCTAGTGAAGTCGTCCAAATATGGGGATCCTCCAAGGGGGTAGTTCTGAAGGTATGCATTTCAGGCAAAATCAGGAGTAACCCCTCACTCCAAAACAGATCATATTCCACAGGAGCTGTATGAATATAACTCATTCAGCATGCACTTCTTAAAGTAGAGTATACACCTTTTCTGCCAAACATAAGACTTGGATGAACGACTCATCCTCGTCGAAAGCGAGAAAGGGCCTGACGATACTCTGACTGTTAAATGCTGTCAAATACGACCAGCAAATTCCTTTCACGTCCTCCCTATATAACTCTAAGCGCGGTTATCCAATTGGGTTGGAAACATCTCACCTGTAACCAAGGTCCAACAGTACCCGAACAAGAAGGGTGTACAAACGCGATCATACCAAAACGGTTTCTGGCAAGTTGCTCGCTAACCACAACGTACCTCCCACCCCAATTCAAGGCATCTATTGCTCGGGAAGAAAGGAGAATGCACGCAGGCATTTCATAAGGTCAACATGAAAGGGGGAAAGAACTGGACCAGAACAGAAAAGGAAGCATGTTCTTCTCTCCTAAATGGTTCACTTACTTCACAAAAGTGGACATCACAATGGAAATGGCCTCTGTGACCTTTCTTCATTACACTGACATTGAATAGGCTGTAAATTTCACCCTGGTTGTACACGAAACATCGATCGCAGAAACATTTCACAGAGGGACTATCGATTTAAGCCAACGAAGAATAGCATGGCACTATGTACGGTACCTCAATAACTATCCGGTGTTCAGAGTGAACGCGTGCTTTTATCGTTTCGCTTTTGACACAAAAGCTTCATCAGGCCAAGTGAACAGGTCACTAAATTGGCCAGGTTATAAGACAGACGGGGAACCAATCAGTGAGTCCTCTTCAAACTAGATCAGTGTTGAGTGTCAATTAACGGCTCTTGTCGGCTAGTGTGGGTGCCAAAATCTTGAACTGATGGGTTGGAGGAGTTCAAAATTAGTTCCGATCGCTTTTCGTTTCTTAATCTTCCACTTCATGGTGTTTTACTTGATGATTCACCTCGGGTGCAACTGGTCGATTTTCCCTGGTCTTTGTGGGGTTGTGAGTGCTCCGACAATTTGGTTTGGGGAGGGGGATTGAGGTCCACTGGAATTCAGATGATGACCACTTCCTTCTGATGACCGCAAGCCGACACGTGTCAGCTCGTCTGACCCAAGACCGTTCTCCACACGCTAGGCAGTTCCACGCCTTCTGTTCTGTTAACACCGGGATGCTTGGCGATTTCTACCACCTCGGCGATCAGTCTGTGTGATGTGGACCGTAGTCCTCTTTTCTAAGTGTATTTTGTGTCTCGTGTCCAGTGTGTGTTCCGCAATTGCCGAGTCTTTCAGTAACGCCTGATATTCATTTGCGTTTCTCGGCGGCCTGTTTATTTTTCTACTGTGTTCTCCGACTCTGATGTGTATGTTCCTGGCCGTCTGTCCTATATAGACCTTGGTGCAGTCATTACACTTAATTTTGTAGACACAGTCCCTGGTTCTGTTTGCCGGGAGGAGATCCTTCAATTGCACCAGTGCGCAGCGCAGTGTTCCCCCTTTGGAGAGCTACTCTTATGTTAGCCGTGTTTGGAATTCTTTGAATGACCTCCGATATCCCTGGTGGGTCTTACACAAAATCAGTCGGATGGGGTTAACGTTCTTTACGCAGGTTGACTACCTTGTGCTGATATGACTGTCATAGATCGCGATCGAATCGTTCAGCTATTAAAACCTGCTGCCTAGCCAACAAATGGAGGCATGAGGGCTGAAATACTGCCCAGTCGTCCAGGCCAAGGCAGGAGCAGTTGAGATGCTGAGGTTGGGTTCGAACCACGGGCCTTCAGGTCCATAAGTTAGCGCCTAAGTCACTGATCTCGTATCTCACAGATGCGAAACAGTAGTATAGAGGCATTTCTACTCCATCCGAGCGAAATTCCATCTATTCTGTAAAAAACGACTCTTACTGACCACCACTCTGCAAACACTCTGACCGACGGGATCTCCCAAAAGTGTTTCTGGAGGGAGGGGGTACGACACTGAAAAGCAATTAGCACACGGTCGACAGACATCAAGCTGGGGAATGTGAACTTGCTTGCACTTTTGTCTGTCTGAAGTTCACCTCTCGCAACGGTCAAGGAGATGATCTGGCGCTGATTAGTATGAAAATGGGCGGAACTTGGGTCCGGTGTTTCCATCCTCTTTTATTGTTGACCAATCGGAATAGTGATAGTACCAAGACGTGGAAACAAATTCGCAAATCCTTCAAGTCTTAGAAGGATGGATTGATATCTTCCCAAAAATAGACCAGTTGTGACAAGGTTGTGAATGAAGAATGCCGAAATCCCACGGAGGGCTTTCGCGCAGGTGTGTCCAGATAGGTTCTTTCGTCACAAGACAGTCTGTCAGATAGCTACCACGAAGATCATATAGCAGTCAGTCACACTGAGTTTTGTGTATACGTGTGTGTGTCTAAGCCTCGTCAAGCTCGGGTTATAACTTCGCTTCAGTGGTTCACCACGCGAAATGAGTCCGAATCTCTCCCCGGTTCCTGAGCTATTTTTGTTACAGATGAAGTGGAGTAGAGAGGAACGGAAGAGCCATCACTAGAGACACCCTCTACACAGAGAGAGTACCACATGAGTATTATTTAAGCACGGCATTTATAGATTCAGATGAGCATGGATATGGGTTTTGAAAACTGAATATTTTAAGAGAATGGTGTAATATTTGGTATAGTTTAGTCCATAAAATCGACTGGCATCACGTATGGTTGTCCCCCAATATAATTCAACGGCATGCGAGATGTTGCAGTCGAACAAAAAGTACTTCTGTGGAGACCAAACGGAAACTACAGCGTTATCAGCTCAACACGATCCCAAAGCAAGTGAAGGCAGTTTACATACTCGCATAAGCACAGTGAGATACCCCTAAACCTTTTCAGAGACATTGTGCTACTGTGTTGTTTGTAGTAGTTTATTATATCACGTAATTTTTCCGGAGACAGGTTGGTGTCAGTGTCAGGAGTGCCAGTGCTGTTATTGTACCACGAAAGTTGAAATGGAGAACTGACCTTCAAATTCCGCACCGTGTTTTGCATCTTGTACGGGTGTCAGAAACAGGTTTACATCGCCAATCATCGCCTCGATTTCTAGCTGCTGATGCCTATCACCCAGTGACGGCGACGGGAGATCCGAAAGTTTGAGTTTCTCCCTTGTAAGCAGGATGAAAGTGAGCCGGTCATCCAACTCGGTCCAGAGTCGCTGAGCTTCGTATTCCTGTACACGGTAAGGGATTACCCCGAAAAACAGTTTTTATAACGCATACAAAAAAGTGCTCAAGTTTAACTTTAATCCGGTTCTTGAAAGTGCTAATTGCTTGATCGAGAACCTCTCCTCTGATATCAATGGATAAACTGAATAGGAAAACAAAATGTAAGAAATTGAGGCAAGGTTAATATGTTTTTCTCAACCTGTTGACCGTAAGCATGACCATCTACATCGCGTACAAGCACAGTGGAATGACAGCAAAGCTACTGGAATTCGGAACAACAATAGCTACCAATATAGACTAGGACTGTCTTTTTCGCTCCCCTTTATTCGAAGGAACATTCGACTGGAAAAAAAATCGTTCAGCTGTAACACCCGTCCGGTGCCTAGCTGCCATGCTACCCAAAGAAAGCACGAGGGTTGGGATACTGCCAAGTTGCCCAAACCTAGACAAGGGAAGTCGAGATGCATTTGACTGCACTCGACATAAACAGTCGTCCGCACCTGAGAACTATTCATTCGAGAGGTCAGTGAACACTTATGGGTAGAGCATAGGTGGACTGTTGAGGATGGGGGCACAATGTGGTGTTGTACAGAATGAACCGTGTCACAGATGTAGTGTTCGCGTTTAACGCCTCCTCAGATAAAAAACTCAGGGGCACCTCAACTGGTGCGAAATAAACTCACGCTGACTGGTAGCATCGGCTGATTGGATTGAAGATGACCTCATTATTGATGCGTTTCCAGAGAACGCCCACACTGCAGGTACGGTCAATCCAGGGTCTCTTTCAGGGAGAAATTTTCCTGCGCGAAAACACCGAGAAACAACACCCACAACCCGACTTCCCGTAGATGTGACCACTCACATCGCCGTCAAACCTTATTCCGGGACTTGCTAAGGCTTCAAAACCGAGGATTTCAAAATATGAATTTCCTGTGGAATGCACACCGGCATACGTCAGTCCTCATGAAAGGACATCAAATAGTGAATTCAAAAACTCTGCTGGTCACCTTCTCGCGTTCAACAGGGGGAACCAGAACCTTCAGAGCAGATCGTCCACGCAGCCAGCAATGGGCAACCGAATATTCATGGGAAATCTAAAGGTCACGTCACTCTTGAGAGCTGTTCAAAGAGTGCCACATTCGGGGAGACAGTGAGTCACGTGATATGAATTGTGTGACTGAAGGATGGATGGTCAAGGTGTGCGGATCGAACACACTACTAATCGGTCATTCATGGTTGAATGGTAAACCGTACCGCTGCTAACAAAAGGGTCGTGGGTCTGAATATCACTGGATTCAGAGGATTCGCACTGATGAGGACTCCTAACAAGTAGGAAACAGCTGTGCAGTGTTGTCAATCGGCGTTTCTCGGCCTCTCAGCATAGGTTGAATTTGCTTGCAAGATGAGTTTCAACTGAAATTTCAAGACGTTATCACTGTCTTAGAACAACCAGCCAACTCATCAGCGCATCAAAGATTGACACCCACTAGCATAATAAAGTAGATCGGAGGCAATCAGTTGGAAGACCACAAGAAGTTACTTTGTTTGAAGGAATTTTAGCTCTGAGTTTGTGAAGCTCATGAAATGGCATATTACCAGGATGAGGAGGGACTCGACCAAAGCCTTTGGTTCAAAAGGGCTGATGGCGTGGCAGCGGCGCCGGGCCACTGGGGTAGACTATCCCTAAGGAAGCAACGCATCCCACATGCTCCAACCCCCAACCTGGAGCCCAAGCCTAGACAAGGGAAGTCGAGAGGCAGAAGTCGGGTTCGAACCACGGACCTTCCGGTCAGTGAATTGGCGCTCTAACCGCTTGGTCCATCTCGCCCCCACTACCTGAAGGTATTATATCATAGTATTATATTTATATTACATATCATACATTAACTAAATCATACGATCGGTCAACTCTACACCAATCAGTTCCAGTAACTGAGAAGAAAGAACATATCCCCCAGACATTTGGGCCTACACGTAATTCTTACGGTGGACTCATCAACGTAGTAAGTACTCACAACAGATATTCATATTGGACCACGTGAATACATTGAGGAAATGGCTCCACTTCGCTCAAGTTAAAAGGTCATAGCTTGATCATGTCTTGCCACCACTGACCCATTTACACCTGTTGACTAACATCCCCAAAAGGGTTTACCACTAGTTCTGTCTCCGTGTCATCAGCCCCTTGATAGATGTCACCGGCATGCGGGTTGCCTTCTCCCTTCTGCATATAAGTTTTACGGGAAATGTTTTACCACTGTTTTACCTGTTTTACCACTTTATTGTGCTTTATCTGCTCCAGCATCCACATACGGTTCGTCCCACTACGGTATTATATCATAGTATTATATTTATATTACATATCATACATTAACTAAATCATACGATCGGTCAACTCTACACCAATCAGTTCCAGTAACTGAGAAGAAAGAACATATCCCCCAGACATTTGGGCCTACACGTAATTCTTACGGTGGACTCATCAACGTAGTAAGTACTCACAACAGATATTCATATTGGACCACGTGAATACATTGAGGAAATGGCTCCACTTCGCTCAAGTTAAAAGGTCATAGCTTGATCATGTCTTGCCACCACTGACCCATTTACACCTGTTGACTAACATCCCCAAAAGGGTTTACCACTAGTTCTGTCTCCGTGTCATCAGCCCCTTGATAGATGTCACCGGCATGCGGGTTGCCTTCTCCCTTCTGCATATAAGTTTTACGGGAAATGTTTTACCACTGTTTTACCTGTTTTACCACTTTATTGTGCTTTATCTGCTCCAGCATCCACATACGGTTCGTCTCCAGTCATGTGGGGAATAATCCAGCAAGTTCGCAAGCGCAGAGGAAGGGTAGGTATCACGTGCTTTGGAGTGTGAGTTGTAATTGCTGTGAGCATAACGGACAAAGTAAAAACATACTTAAACTGATTGGACGTTGGCGGGCGGCACATGTTTCGACTTTAATGTAGCAACTAGCTCACTTCACGATCCCTCATCAGCCAGATTTACAGGATCCATTCAGGATCGCCTTCCACAGTTGCAACTCACGGTCTCTAAAGTCCACGCACCTTGACTAGTCCATCCGAATTCACCAAAAAAGGACCTGAAGATTTCGATAATGAATTTGGTATTCACTCCAGCTGGATCTCTCGTTTATGCTAGCCCGTTTCAACTGGAAGTACCGCACCAATATTTGCGGATTCAAAGAGAGCACAAGGATGAGGGAAGCCCGAGCCGACCTGATGAGTTTCAAAACCGGTCATGGACTGTCAAAGAATACTCCGAAGCCTTATCAGTAGTCTGTTACATTAGGACATATTGCGATAGCTTGAATATTGCGCTAACTGAAACATGGGGCAGTTTGATGCAGCACATTTAGTTGAAGCGGACGGTCATAAACGAGACATCTAGCTAGAACGACAAACAACACCAACTGCGTTAAACGAAGCGACATCGATCTGGACCGGTTGATCGGGAACGAATGGATCCAGGCGACCGGGTTTCACATCCCCCAGAGAGTACCGTGACTAAACTGGGTAACAGAACACTGATTACATTCAGAGTAGTTGCACGTGCTACTGACAAAAAGTAGGAATGAGCAAGGAAGGAAGGAGAATTCTATGATTACACCAACAGTGGGAGTGATAGCGGAAAACTTCCGACACATTTGTCAGCTTTAATCGTGTCGCATACCTCTCCAGATACTCCCAGCTCTGCAGTCATGCGTGTATACCGCTAGATCATGCACACATTCGTCGATTTTGTCAACCTGTGGGTCAAACCCGCAAACTTTCCTCTCTGACTGGAAGGAGTGCGGTGATTCAAACGACAGATAGCGATGGAGAGACGTTAGGACATAGGTCATAATCGATTCTTTTTTGGGGAAGTTACAGGCACTCATAAGCGAGAGTAACATTGGCGACCTACTTGTGATTGTCAGACAAACCTGCCTCAGCGGTCTTTCCTGAATCTAGTTCGAGTTCATGAAACTTCAACAGACTGCCTACTTTCATAAAGCCGATTGTACTGCCAGAAGCAGCATATCTAAGCGCCATCCCTGTGGAATTCTAAGGACAATATCACATTACCAGTAGTACAAGCCACTGACAGCAAAGCGAGAATGATTTGTGCTTAGCAATCCTACCTAGTGAAGATACCAACGGGAAAATAACCACTTGCTCATGAAGTGACACGACTTATAAGGTTGCTGAAAACTCTGACAGAACCCGACCGATTTCGTCCTTCTTAGGGTTCATCATATAGATGCAGTCCCCGAGTTTCCTTTAGTCGTGTGAACCCGAATTAGACGCGAGTCACCAAAAACACTCGTTTTCAAACCAACTTGGATTAGACCGGGGAGCTCAGCTGAATCTCGCCATCCCTGTGGAATTCTAAGGACAATATCACATTACCAGTAGTACAAGCCACTGACAGCAAAGCGAGAATGATTTGTGCTTAGCAATCCTACCTAGTGAAGATACCAACGGGAAAATAACCACTTGCTCATGAAGTGACACTACTTATAAGGTTGCTGAAAACTCTGACAGAACCCGACCGATTTCGTCCTTCTTAGGGTTCATCATATAGATGCAGTCCCCGAGTTTCCTTTAGTCGTGTGAACCCGAATTAGACGCGAGTCACCAAAAACACTCGTTTTCAAACCAACTTGGATTAGACCGGGGAGCTCAGCTGAATCTCGCAATTCCAATACTCTCCAGCTAAATGTGCTGTGTAATGACCAGTCAGCACGATATTCGAGCCGATGGGGGTTTATTTTCCCGAAGTTTGCTGAAAATTCTTCGATAGACCATGGCCGTGTTGAGGCTCACCAGGTAGGGGTGTCCCAGTTTCTGCCTAAATTTGCCGGCACTAGCACACCGATATGTCCCCTACTCTCCACATCGTTTGACGCCACATTTCTCCGTCTACTCTCCCTATAAAGTTTTGATGGCCCGTATTAGAACCGCAAGGGGCTAGATGGTTCAGTGGTAAGAGCGC